TTTTTTATTGTAATAACCAAAATGGAGACATTACAAAGTATTATTCTATATAATAAAGGATATGCAAATTGACCTCACGCCCTTGCACAAGATGGCCGCCCTCATGTGGTCAAAGACGGCCAGCAGGGGAGAGTAGTTGTGGGCAACCAGGCCTTCAGGGGAGAGCAGTATGGGGCCACCAGACCAGCAGGGGAGGGCATTTAGGGGCTACCAGGCCAGAAGGGGAGTGCATTTGGCGGCAATTGTGCCGGCAGGGGAGCAGTAAGGCATTGATCAGACTGGCAGGGGATGATCAGGCTGACAGGCAGGCAAGCAGTTGGGAGCCAGCAGTCTTGAATTGTGAGAGGGATCCCAGATTGGAGAGGGTCTCGCTAAATTTGTTGGCCTTTTCTAGAAAATTCTTGAAAAACCTTATAACCATTGTTTTGAATTCTATATCCAGTAGTTTGCTTTCCCCCATTTCTTTCATTTGTGATTTGTTTCATTGTCTCTGCATTTTGGCTGCTTCCCTGAGTTGATAGAGTGGCTTTGTGTGATAGGTGTCCATTAGGGCCCAGTGGCTCAGTTTCTCCAGTTACCTGAGTTGGACCCTTTTGGTGCACCCCTTTGTGGGCTATGTGCACAGTCTTGTTGTAGTTAAGCCTTGATTGTTGTTGGTATCACTGGGAGGAATTGATCTCCAGGCCAATTAGCTGTGAGGATCAGCTGTGTCTATGCCGGGAGGACTTCTGTGCTGGAGACTACCTTATGAGACAAGACTTACAAAAGCCTCTGTTCTCAGCTGGGATTGGGCGGAGTCTCGGGGTGGAGCAGACAGCATTGGTTTCCTTTCAGCCCTGCCCTAATAGGCCCTGGGCTTTAGTGTCCCGCGGTAATTGCTGCACGCACCTCTTGAGAGAAAGCCGCCCTCAACTTTCGCCCACTGCCAGACAGTCCAGTTTCTCCCTGAATGAGTCTGGGTCCCCAGAGCCTTGTCTGGAACTGGAGTTCAGCGCAGTTGGGAGCTTTTGTCTGCCTCCCACTTGAGAAAGCCAGCTGAATACTCAGCTGCCTGCCCTCTCCGTGGGAGTGTCTCAGTACCTCTGCCTTCTGCAGCTCCTCTGAGTCTGTGTGCTTTTCTCTTCCCGTCTAGTTGTAGAATTTCCACTCAGCCAGCTTTCCTGGATGATGTCTATTTTGTCTTTTAGTTGTAGTTTTGAAATTGTTGTGCAAGGCAGCAGTTTAGGTGTTTACCTATGCCACCATCTTGGTTTCTCTCCTAATATCTCTTAAGTATTTCTTTGTTTCTCTTTCTTAATTATGCCCTGTCCTGAGTTAACATTCTTATGTTTCAATAAAATGGAGAAAGGTTTGCCTCTTTCCAGTTGATTTGGACAAGGGAAAACTTTGGGGGTTAATGAATTGCATCTCTTAACTTAGGTTAGTTTGGAAAATAGATCAAGAAAATGATTTATCTGTACCATAGTTTTTCTTGTTTGTTTTAAATTAAATTACAGTTTATATTCAATATTATTTTTTAAAATATATTTTATTGATTTTTTACAGAGAGGAAAAGAGAGGGATAGAAAGCTAGAAACATCTATGAGAGAGAAACATCGATCAGCTGCCTCTTGCACACCCCCTACTAGGGATGTGACTGCAACCAAGGTACATGCCCTTGATTAGAATCGAACCTGGGACCTTTCAGTCTACACGCCGATGCTCTATCCACTGAGCCAAACTGGTTTCAGCTATTTTTTACTTTTGATTGCAGTTTTGTTTTGTTTTGTTTTGTTTTGTTTTTTGTTTGTTTTTTTGTTTGTTTGATTGATTTTTAGATATATTTTTATTGATTTCAAAGAGGAAGGGAGAGGGAGAAAGAGATAGAAACATCAATGATGAGACTCTTGATCAGCTGTCTCCTTCATGCCCCACACTGGGGATTGAGCCTGCAACATGGGCATATGCTTTGACTGGGAATCGAATGGTGACCACCTGTTTCATAGGTTGATGCTCAACCATGCCGGCCAGGCTGGGTTTCAGGTTTCACAAGTTTGAAAAACACTGGCCTAGAGCTTTGTAATTATTTTAATTTATTGAGAACAAAAATTAGTGACTTCATTCACTTTTTATCTTTAAAGCAAATAACATCAAAAGACATAATAGAATGTATGTATGCTTTATATTTTCTACCATTCTGAAAAGGATACAGACTTTCCTAAGGGTATAGCTAGCTCTTCCCTCTCTTCATTGTGTCAAAACTTATCCTAATAAAATAGTAATATGCAAATTGACTATCACTCTAACACAAGATGGCTGCCCCAGTGTGGTCAAAGATGCTGCCCCTATATGGACTCAATATGGCCGCCACAAGATGGCCTGCAGGGAAGGGCAGTTGGGGAAATCAGGTCAGGGGGGCGGGCAGTTAGGGGTGACCAGAGCAGTTGGGGGCGACCAGGCTGGCAGGGGAGGGCAGTTGGGGGCGACCAGACTGGCAGGAGAGGCAGTTAGGGATAACCGGGCCAACAGGGAAGGGCAGTTGGGGGCAACCAGGCTGGCAGGGGAGCAGTTAGGCGTTGATCAGGCTAGTAGAGGAGTAGTTAGGGGTGATCAGGTTGGCAGGCAGGCAAGCAGTTGGGAGCCAGAAGTCCTGGATTATGAGGGGGGCAGTCAGACATCCTTTGAAGGGTTCTAGATTGGAGAGGGTGCAGGCTGAGCTGAGGGACACACACCTTCTCCCCCTCCCCATGCACAAATTTTGCGCACTGGGCCTCTAGTAATGTATACTAGGTAGGTACTATTCCCTGCTGAATATTCTGACAATTTTCTGCTCATTTTAGGAAGTTTTCCTTCTTACGTTTTGTTTGATTTCTAGTTTGGAATACCTTAAAGTCTTATTTTTAATCAGTTCTATTTGGTTGATTCCATAGTAGTTTAACTCAGGGAATAAGAGATTTGTTGGACATATTTCTGTAACAGTATATATCTTTTTTAAAAATATATTTTATTGTTTTTTTTAATTTATTTTTTAAAATATATTTTATTGGGTTGTTTTTTTTTTGCCCCCCTCCCTCTCATACATACCCTCCCTCCCCAGAGTTTTATGTCCATTGGTTGTACTTATATGCATGCATACAAGTCCTTTGGTTGATCTATTATCTCCCCCAAATCTCCCTCCCCTCCCCGCTGTAATTTGACAGTCTGCTTGTTGCTTTACTGTCTCTATATCTATCTTTTGGTTCATCAGTTTATAATGTTCTTTATTATCCATAAATGAGTGAGGTCATGTGGTTTTTCTCTTTCATTGATTGGCTTATTTCACTCAGCATGATGTTCTCCAATTCCATCCAGGTTGCTGCAAATGATGAGAATTCCTTCTTTTTTATGGCAGCATAGTATTCCACTGTGTAGATGTACCATAGTTTTTTGATCCAATCATCTGCTGACGGGCACCTAGGCTGTTTCCAGATTCTAGCTATAGTAGATTGTGCTGCTATGAACATAGAGGTGCATATATCCTTTCTGATTGGTGTTTCTAGTTTCTTGGGATATATTCCTAGGAGTGGGATTACTGGGTCAAATGGGAGTTCCATTTTTAGTTTTTTGAGGAAACTCCACACTGTTCTTCACAGTGGTTGCACCAGTCTGCTTTCCCACCAGCAGTGCAAGAGGGTTCCTTTTTCTCCACAACCTCACCAACACTTGTCGTTTGTTGATTTGTTGATGTTGACCGTTCGGACAGGTGTGAGATGGTACTGCATTGTTGTTTTGATTTGCATCTCTCTGATAATTAGTGACTGAGCATGTTTTCATGTGTCTTTTGGCCTTCCTTCTGTCTTCTTTTAAAAATATTCTATTTAAGACCATTGCCCAGTTTTTAATTGGATCATTCATCTTCCTTTTATTTAGTTGTATAAGCTGTCTGTAGATGTTGGAGATTAAGCCTTTTATCAGTGGTAACATTTGCAAATATGTTCTCCCATACAGTGGGCTTTCTTGTTGTTTTGTTGATGGTTTCTTTTGCTGTAAAAAAGCTTTTTATTTTGATGTAGTCCCATTTGTTTATTTTCTCTTTAGCTTCCATTGCCCTAGGGGCAGTATCAGTGAAGAAGTTCTTTTGGCATATGTCTGAGATTTTGCTGCCCGGGGATGCTTCTAGTATTTTTATGGTTTCCCGTCTGATGTTTAAGTCCTGTATCCATTTTGAGTTTATTTTTGTGTATGGTGTAAGTTGGTGATCTAATTTCATTCTTTTGCATGTGTCAGTTACAGTATATATCTTTATCTCATTCTTTTAATGAATGTCCATTGCATAAGGTTATAATTTATTTAGTGCCTCAATGGTGTACAAAACACTGTTGTCATATATTTGTATACCATAGGATATTGCTGGTTCAAAGTGGAATTACTTGGATGGTGTGCATTTAAAATTTTAATATTGCCAAGTTGGCCTTCAAAAAGGTTGTTCTATGTGTCACTACCTATATATAAAAATGCCTATTCCCCATTCCTTTGCTGATGCTGTGCATTACTAGAGTTTAACTTCTTGTAGTCTGGTGAAATTTTACAAAAGTCCAGTATAGATTTGCACTTTAAAAATTGCATGAGATTGACTTTGCTTTCATAAATGTAATTGGTTTTTGTATTTTTTTGTTTGTTTGTTAATCCTCACCCAAGGATATTTTTTCCATTGATTTTTAGAGTGGAAAGAGGAAGGGAGGATGGTAGGGAGAAAGAAATGTTGATTGGTTGCCTCCCACACATATCCTGACCAGGGCCAGGAATCAAACATGAGACCTTCTGGTGGGGCCGATGCTCTAACCATTTAGCAATGCCAACCAAGGTGGCTCTTTGTATTTTCAGTGACAATTCTTGAGGTTTCAAGTATGGGTGATAACAGTGAATGTGACTTCAAAGCTTTGAAGAAATGGAGCTATAAAAAATAAAGTCACTGAGATGATTACAACTGTGATGATCTCCCATATTTCCCATTTTGACCTTTTCTTTATTTTTACTTTCAGGTGATCATGGAGCTCAGCTTGGCCTCCATGGGGCTGGTGGTGATGGAATACATGATGACACAGCAGGAGGAGAGGAAGGAGAGAATAGCCCAGATCCCCAACCACAAGCTGGTCGGAGGACCCGGCGGGAAGCATGCACCTGCCCCTACTGTAAAGACAGTGAAGGAAGGTAAGTTGACTAAGCCAGTGTCTTAAGAGTATTTAAAGGATTTGGAGGTAAGAAGAGGTTTATTTATTTATTTTAACACTTAAGACTTGGCAAGGTGGCAAAGGGATGAGAAATAACAAAATACATTGCATTGGTCATATTACAGGATCTTGGTTCCAGCTCTGATCCTTTTATTGACTATGAAGACCTTGGGCCTTAATAGGTGCCTGCTTTCTCTTAGAGATAAGGAAATCAGATGGAGCCAGCTGGTCTAATGATTATTACCATATGTCTACCTGTATATTGAGATGGTTTTAACAAGGTTGCTTTGTGCCGAGACTGGTTTGGTTTAATGGATAGAACGTCGGCTTGGGGACTGAGGGGACTTGGGTTCGATTCCGGTCAAGGGCATGTACCTTGGTTGCGGGCATATCCCCAGTAGGGAGTGTGCAAGAGGCAGCTGATCGATGACTCTCTCTCATCGATGTTTCTAACTCTCTATCTCTCTCCCTTCCTCTCTGTACAAAATCAATAAAATATATTTAAAAAAAAACAAGGTTGCTTTGTAAAACAGCCTTGCAAAGAAATGAAAAAGCTACACTAATGTATTTTTACAATGGCTTGTGAGAATAAGAGTTTTCTAGAGTCTTATTTTCCTTCAAAATAAACAAAAATGCTTAGTACAGATAGAAAACTTTTAAAAATATATATATTTTATTGATTTTTTACAGAGAGGAAGGGAGAGAGATGGTTAGAAACATCGATCAGCTGCTTCTTGCACACCCCCTACTTGGGATGTGCCCACAACTAAGGTACATGCCCTTGACCAGAATCAAATCTGGGACCTTTCAGTCCGCAGGCCGACGCTCTATTCACTGAGCCAAACCGGTTTCGGCCAGATAGAAAATTCTTCAATCAGGAACCCTAACATGTCCTGCAAAACAAAGTTCTGACAATTTTCTCATTAGTAATACCTACTATTCAGTATTATCTCTGGAGAGTTTCAAGTTCTATTTTTTTCTTTTAAATCACTTTTATTTAAAAAAAAAAAAATGTTTTATTGATTTTAGAGTGAGAGAGAGAGAGAGAGAGATTCAGAGAAATATCCATAAGAGAAACATGGTTCCGATGCCTTTTGCTCATGCCCAGGCTGCAGGCTTCATTCCAACCCTGGGTGTGGGCTCTGACCAGGAATCAAATCAAACTGGTGATCTTTTGGTTCATGAGATGACACTCAACCAACTGAGCCACTCCAACTGGGAAAGTCACTGCTTTTGAGCGAATAGGAAATTACATAGTTGATTAAATGCCTTTGAAAAAGAAAATCTGTTAAAGTTCTGTCCCATCCTAGCTAGTTTGCTCAGTGGTTAGAGTGTTAGCCTGTGGACGTAAGGGTCATGGGTTCAATTTCAATCAAGGGCATGTACCTCAGTTGCAGGCTCTCAATCCCCAGCTTTGGTCAGGATGCGTGCAGGAGGCAACTAATCAATGTTTCTCTATGTGTCTCTCCCCCTCCCTTCCACTATTTCTAAAAAGTCATTGATGAAAAAAATATCCTTGGGAGAGGATTAACAAAAAAAACAAAAACAAAAACAAAAAAAAACAATGCCGAAACCAGTTTGGCTCAGTGGATAGATCAACACCATGGGGAGTGAAAGTTCCAGGTACTATTCCAGTCAAGGGCATGTACACACCAGTTGGGAGTGTGCAGGAGGCAGCTGGTCGATGTTTCTAGCTCTCTATCCCTCTCTCTTCCTCTCTGTAAAAAAAAAATCAATAAAATACAAAATAAAATCAAAAGTTTTATCCCAATAAAAATAAGCACAAAAGTAAAAAATGTACCAAAACAAAATTTGAATTATTTGTAGGTACTTGCCTTGATTGAAATTGAACCCATGCTTGTATTGAGATTTAACTTCTTGCAAAAAAAAAAAAAAAAAAAAAAACCACAGATTTCACAAATAACTGTGAGAATGATTATGTCTTCAAACATCAAAATTGAATTAAGGAACAGGAAAGCAGAAAAAAGCAAATGTCGCCAAAACCGGTTTGGCTCAGTGGTAGAGCGGCGGTCTGCGGACTGAAAGGTCCCAGGTTCGATTCTGGTCAAGGGCATGTACTTTGGTTGCGGGCACATCCCCGGTAGGGGGTGTACCGGCGGCAGCTGGTCGATGTTTCTCTCTCATCGACGTTTCTAGCTCTCTATCTCTTTCCCTTCCTCTCTGTAAAATATCAATAAAATATTAAAAAAAAAGAAAGGAAGGAAGGAAGGAAGGAAGGAAGGAAGGAAGGAAGGAAGGAAGGAAGGAAGGAAGGAAGGAAGGAAGAAAAAAGCAAATGTCTGGTAGAGAGGAAACCTACAGCTTGAATTTTGGGTATTAAGAACCAGAATCAACTAAAGATTTATATTTTTATACTAAAGATTAAAAAAAAGTTCTAGTTAGTTTTAAATGGGTCAGGTAATTGCTGTTGACACTTTGTGGTATTTTCATTTTTATCTTTAGAATGATGACTACTTTGTATTCTCACTTACAGGGCCTCTGGGGATCCGGGCAAAAAGAAACAGCACATTTGCCACATTCAAGGCTGTGGCAAAGTATATGGCAAGACCTCGCACCTACGGGCACACTTGCGCTGGCACACTGGCGAGAGACCATTCATGTGTACCTGGTCATACTGTGGGAAACGCTTCACGCGTTCGGATGAGCTGCAGAGGCACAAACGCACACACACAGGTGAGTAGGAGCCTGGAGAAGAAAGAAATAGTAATAGACCAGAATGGAAAGGTACAAAATATACCTATGAAATGACTAAAAATACTGAGCAATTTACGATTGAAACTAAATGTATAGATCATAAATGGAATTGGAGTTAATCTGGAAAACCTTTAAGAAGGAAGGAGCCCTGACCAGTTTGGCTCAGTGGATGGAGCATTGGCCTGTGGACTGAAAGGTCCCAAGTTCGATTCTGGTTGAGACATATGTCTGGGTTGTGGGCTCAATCCCCACTGGGGGTCTGTAGGAGGTGGCTGATCGATGATTTTTTTCTCATCATTGATGTTTCTCTCTTTTCCTCACTGAAATTGATAAAAATATATTTAAAAAAAAGAAAAGGAAGGAGCCGAAACCGGTTTGACTCAGTGGATAGAGTGTCGGCCTGTGGTCTGAAAGATCCCAGGTTCGATTCTGGTCAAGGGCATGTACCTTGGTTGCGGGCACATTCCCAGTAGGGGGGTGTGCAGTAGGCAGCTGATGGATGTTTCTCTCTCATTGATGTTTCTCTCTCTCTCTCTCTTCCTCTCTGTAAAAAATCAATAAAATACGTATTTTTAAAAAAGGGGGGTTGGGGAGAAGATGCCCAGCTGGTGTGGCTCAGAATACATGCCTGATGCTCCTTAATAACAATGAAATTACATTATGAATACATGGGAGTGATAGCCCAGAATAACCTAGAATACATGCCTGGGTTGCAGTCTTTTTCTTCCTTTCCTTTTTTTTTTTTTTCCTCACCGAGGATATTTTTCCCCCATTGCTTTCAGAGAGAGTGAGAGGGAGAGAGGGGGGAAAAAAAACCACCAATGTTGAAAGAGACATATTGACATTTGCCCTGGCATTTGCCCTGACTGGGGATGGGGAGGATTCCGAAACCCAGGTACATGCCTTGACCAGGATTCAAACCTGTGATTCTTCTGTATAGGGGTTGATGCTCTAACCACTGAGAAACAGGGCTGGGTTGCATTCTTGAATCCCTAGTGGAGGGCGTGTAGTCTATCTCTATGTTTCTCTCATTGATGTTTCTATCTTCCTCTCTCTGAAATCAATAAAATACCACACATTTTTAAAATAATAAATTTTTTTATTTTTTTTAAAAAATATATTTTATTGATTTTTCACAGAGAGGAAGAGAGAAGGATAGAGAGTTAGAAACATCGATGAGAGAGAATCATCGATCAGCTGCCTCTTGCACACTCCCCGCTGGGGATGTGCCCGCAACCAAGGTACATGCCCTTGACCGGAATCGAACCCGGGACCTTTCAGTCCGCAGGCCGACGCTCTATCCACTGAGCCAAACCGGTGCCGGCAAAAATAATAAAATAAATTTTTAAAAAGAATGAAGGAATTAGTTGAGTGGGATTTTGGAGAATCTCATTACTCTTTAGTCTCAGTCTGCCATTCATTTTTGCTCTAGTTCTTCCTTCCTGAATACCAACCTTTCCTCTCTTCGTCCCTTCCTTCTTCTCTCTCACTCTTTTTTTTTTTTTTTAAATATATTTTATTGATTTTTTTACAGAGAGGGATAGAGAGTTAGAAACATCTATGAGAGAGAATCGTTGATCAGCTGCCTCTTGCACTCCCCCTACTGGTATAGCCAGGAACTGCTCTTGACCGGAATTGAATCCGGGACCCTTCAGTCCGCAGGCCGACGATTCTCTACCCACTGAGCCAAACTGGTATCGGCTCTTCCTTCTTTTTTTGTTTTTCATCTATTCCTCTCCTCCTTGGTACCAGAAAGCCAAATTTTCTTTGAAAACAATCCCTCTGTCTCTATTTGTAGTTACCTGGTTTGGGCAGGATTGATCCTATTCCCACCTTCAGGAATGGACCATGATTGGCTTGAACCAGTCATTGTATCCCTTCCCCACAGGATGTTTGTTCAGGAGTGGGCAATTAAGCTTGTCCAGGAAAAATGAAACTTGGGACTTATGCTGGGCATTCAGGGCCACACATACTTTCTTCTTGTGTTTGTGGTGTGAAGAAGATATATGGCCAGGAACTGCTACTCCCCAACCCTCACCTATTTTCCTTCCTCCAAAAAACAAAAGATACTCATCAGGTTTTTCTTTATTTCTTCACCTTCTAAAATTGGCCTAATAGTCTGGCTAATAAAGTTTGAAAGCAGTAATTGGACAAGGTATCCTGTACATCCTGAGATGTTCATTTCTTATATTTTTTCTTTTTTCTTTTTTTTTTCACTTAGGTGAGAAGAAATTTGCCTGCCCTGAGTGTCCCAAGCGCTTCATGAGGAGTGACCACCTGTCAAAGCATATCAAGACCCATCAGAATAAGAAGGGAGGCACAGGCGTAGCCCTGAGTGTGGGCACTTTGCCCCTGGACAGTGGGGCTGGTTCAGAAGGCAGTGGTGCTGCCACTTCTTCAGCCCTTATTACTACCAATATGGTAGCTATGGAGGCCATCTGTCCAGAGGGTATTGCCCGTCTTGCCAACAGTGGCATCAATGTCATGCAGGTGGCAGATCTTCAGTCCATTAATATCAGTGGCAATGGCTTCTGAGATCAGGCACCCAGGGCCAGAGACATATGGGCTATACCCATTAACCCTGGGATGCAAGGTAGCATGGGTCCAAGAGACATGTGGGAGAGAGAGCCATGAGGCATTAAAATGCATGGTGGTGGGAAGAATTGGGGAAGGGGATACAAGAGAAGAGATGGGGTCCTGGCACTCACCTATATCATCAGTACCTCCTTGAAGTGGGAAACAGTGAAAATTCCGTGGGTGCCACCCTTTGATGAGCATTTGTTTGACCCCAGTTTCTTATATTTCTTACCCCAACCTCCCTGTCCTGTGTTTCCCTTCTCAACTCCCTCATGATGGATTTCCCCCTTTCCTAAAGCCATCATGCCTTGATAAATATATATGATCATTGAAATACTTTTTAACAAAAAAACAGATTCTATATTATATATATAAATATATATAAAAGATATATAGAGATGCATTTGCAGGGGTTGGCTGGGAGGAGCAAAGAGACCATTCTGTGACCAAAATTCTTTGGTCATTTTTTTTTTTATATTGCCTTATTTCCTTATGGCTAAGCCTTGTGACACATTTAAACTTTTATAGATGTTGTCTTGGCTTTCCGTGTAGATTAAGCATCCAGATGCTCTGCTTTTAGTTTATATATACATAATGTTTTTCCTTAATTTTGTCTTTTTATTTGGGATCAGCTTCTTGCACTCCTTTCTAGGCTCAATCCTTTCTGTCTCCCTTTCTCTCACCTAATCATTTCATGTTTTTGGTAGAAATTCCTGGATGAGGCACTTCTGTGAATCTTTTAAAGTCATTAGTCCCAGCAGCAGAATAGAGAAACCTTGAAGCCCAGGATGATGCTTGAAGTAACTGTGGAGAGAGAGTGTTCAAAATACTACTGACGCAGGTACCCTCTTGGTGCTGAAGAGTCAAAGGCACCTCTCTATCAGCTGCTCTAAGCATCAAGAATCAAAAGTATTTCTATGTAATTGTACAAGAAACCCTTTGAGGGTTATAATTTGGAATTAGTTTTATAAACTATCAAAAGATGGTCAGATAATAGATGGGGGCTTTTAATAGGAAAATGATGTGCTCAGAAGTGGAAGTGACTCATAATAGTCCAGTTCGGAAGTTAGGGGAGTATTTGGACTTTGTACAGCTGTCTTCCAAGGTGGCTCTAAGCTTTGATTTCACATAAACTTCTGAGTTCACATTCTAAAAGGAAGTACATTTTCTCTTTTGAACATCCCCAGTAGATTTTTTTTCATTATGTTTTCAAGGAGCATCAGGCAATGAATCTGTTCCAGGTTTCCATTCTGCAGAACTCCAGAGCATGTACTAGTGGCAAGGCAGTAGTCCTTTGATCTTTTCCCTTAACTCTTCCTTGGGTGGTTCCTAAGGGAAAAGGAAGCACATGATCATGGGAATGATAGCCCAGAACAAAAATAAATCTTGTCTTACCACTGTGGTTTATAGGAGAGATTGGGAGAAACTATCCTGCTTTCTTCATGGCCTGATTCCTGAAGAGACTGATCCAAAAATTATAGCGGCAGGGAACTCAGTGCATTTGGTACTGAGATTTAAATGCAACCAGACTTGTCCTCAAGGCCCAGCCATTAAAACATCGTCTCTCTTGACCTTCTGGTATCTTGTCAGAGGGCTTTTCACTGTGAGGAAGTGTGGAAATGGCTGTGTGTATGTGTGTAATCTGTTAGGTTGGGGATAGGTTTTCTGTTAGCCATTACTAAGAGACCTGCAATAAAAATTACCCTGATCTGATAGTGAAATATTTGTGTATGACCATGTGTGAATGTGTGTTTGTGCCTGTATATATCTACACACAGATGAGAAATTATATTTAAAATTGTTGGAAAATAAATCAAATTCAGATCAAAATGCCTTTCAGGCCCATTACCTAGAAATCTATTTTAAAACCTGGGTATGTTCCTGAGGTCATTTCTTTGCTTATGCTAATAAATTAGTTACAATTATGAATGGGGGATATTCTACTGCACTTTTAAAAAAGAAGAAACTATTTTTTGTGTTTGAAAGAGAAACCATCTATAGCAGAATCTTAGTTCCTTTCATAAATATTTTTACCTTGACTACGAATAGATGATGCTATGATTTCACTATATATTTTTATAAAATCTATCTGAATTAGGGTTTGGGTAAGTTGGTGTTAATGTTTAACCTGAAATACAATAACTGTTAATATTCTAAACAATAGTTCACTCCATTTGGTTCTTTTTCTGAAGACTTAATGCTGTTTTTAACACTCAGGAACCATTGCAAGGAACTTTCCTCAGATCAGATTTTGTTAATACTAAAGTAAAAGTTATCTATGACCAACCACATGTCTTACCCTTTATTCCTTGAAAGGTAGAACTCAGAACCTGTTATTTGATGTCTATAATCATGTACATAGGCATCTTTTGGAGGAAAGGGGCAGGACAGCTCACTAGAGTTTGCAGTATTTTATTAGAGCATTTCAAGAAATGGAATCTTCCCCAGTAAGAAATTACTAGAGACAAACTAGCCTAATGAAGCTGAGAAATATAAGCTTTTAGAACATTATTTTAATAGTTCTCTCTGGGGTAGAACATTGGTTTACCCTCCCCCCTTTAGTTAGCATTACTGAGTGAATTTATACCCAGTTCTTTCCAGTTGCCCTAGTCTCACCAAGGAGCTCCAGATCCAGTATCTTGTTTGGCCCCACAACTGAAGCAGCTTTTGCTTTTGCCTCACAGCAGCAGCGAGCCACTCAGTCTTTTCCACAGGAAATTAGGAGCCTACATTCCTTGAGTCAGGAGCTTATTGCTGAAAATCCCTTCCCCTGAACTTTTGGCGAGCAGAAATAAATGTGACTGACAGGCATATTCTAAAAATTTTACATGAGTTACTTTTTTATTTAACTTTTTTAAATGACCAAACTGTGCAGGGCAGTGCATGCCTGAAGAAGAGGTAACGTGGTAGCACTCATTCCCTTGTCCTTTCAGGTTGCCCATTCACTTTGATCTGCTTATCATTTGACTGTCTCACTTTTTACCCAGAGCAGTACCAACCCATCTTCCTTCAGGGATCTCCCAGCAGGCACCATGTTTGTAGGTGCTATACAGAATGAAATTAAATGGATATTTCTACGCCTGGTTCAGAATAAATAACCTTTTATCCCAGAAAGTATAGACTGCAGTGTGGGGTAAAGATTATGATTTGGGGAGGGTTAGAGACAAAAGCTGTAAATTACTATGGCTGATTGATTTATTTCTACTATATACATATATATATATATATATATATATATTTTTTTTTTTTTTGCTTTTGTATATCCTATATAGGAAACAGCATTGTATTTTTTTAACAAATCTGAGAAAGCACTATGAACTGCAGATGTTTGACTTTCAGAATATATTTTGTATTAATATCTTCACATTGTGTGAATACTGGAAGCTGCAGATCTTTGCTAGGACGCAATAAATTTATATACATTTTGAGGGGTTCTTCTGAGGGTATTAATCAAGCCCCTATTATGCTTTGGGGGAGCCCTGGTGCTACTTGCTTAAAGTTTTCATTCAATTGTAAGTACCCTGATGCCTTTTTGGACCTTGGTATCAGATCAGACGAGTTTTGGAGATCTAAGTACCAAGGAAATGAGGATAGTCTAGCTGCCTCAAATGAGGTGCCCTTTGCATAGCTCTCCTTACCCCTATGCAGAGCTGGGTAGGTTCTTGGAGTTGGGAGGGAGAAATGTGAAATCTTAGGTTCATCTCCCTTAGAAGAGAGCCAGTAACTTATGTTCAAGGATGAAAGGTGGTAGCAGTAGCTTTGGGGAAAGGGAGGAGGACATGGCACTTCTCCAACCCTGGAAAACTGCTTTTGAAAACTGCTGATAAAATATGGGCAGGTTGCTTTACTTTTGTTTGGGAGCCTGTACTCTCTGTGCCTCTCTTGGCTCTCCTCCTGGGGTACAGACCTCTTCTAGGAGGATGAGCAGATCAGCTTTGAGGTTGACCTGTTTCTTTTCTTTGTCTGCCTTCCCTAAACACCAGCCCCCAGGAGGACATAAAGCAGCCTTAAGCTTAAATTCCTACTCCCTCTCAGATTTGGCTCGCCAGCCTAGATGTGAAGTCTGGGAAAGGGGAAAAAAAGGGCCATCCATGGATTCGTTTCTCCCCGAGGTGTTCTCCACTTTGACTTTCCAAACTCAAAAAGGTTTCCTCCACAAAGTTCATTTGAGAGAAATAAGTATTTGTCCCATTTCCCCCTTTCCTCATCAACTCCAGCCATTCCTTGTGTCTGCTAAGGGAGAAAAGGCGTGGTGATTGTCCCTCAACTCCTTCAGTTATCAGGGGGAAAAATGTGTAAATGGGATTAAGCTGGGGCTGCAGGTAGTGACAACTTTGTCCTGGGGTGTGTTTTTCTCTGCCTCACCTTCAGGAATGATACTGTGCCTTCTCCACAGGGGAATGGGCTTTGCCCAGTCCACTTTCCCAGCAATTGCTCTTGAACAGTGGGGACAAGGACAGGTCCTCATATTTCTGACCACCTGTTTCTCCCAGTGACATCCCATAGCTCTCATCTGAAATCCAGGGCTCAAAGACTTGGGGAAAATATGCTGAGATTGACCTGAGGAATCCCCTTCTATCCACACCAGTGGCAGCCGCCTGAGAGCTTGCTTTCTCTTCCTGAATCTGCCATGGTGGGGGGGGGGGGGGTGTTGCTCCAGTCTCTGGTGCCTAAAACAAGTTTCAACACTGGTGATAACCAGTCTTCCTACCACTGTTGCCTTTTTAAACCTAATGAGTTCATGCTGTGTCGGTGGTTGGTTCTAATTAGATTATCATCAGAGCTGTGTGGGGAAATAACTTTTAAATGCTCTTTCATCTTGTTCTCCCCTCCCCACCCTTGCAGTGCCCATTCTGTATGTATGATGCTAATCTCTTGTCTTTCAGTTTCTTCCTGCTCTTTTGTATCTTTCATGTGTCTCCTCCTACCTTTTGTCTCTGGGTGTTTTGGGGGCTTCCCCCCCCCCTTTTTTTGTACAAAGATTAGTTTCAATGTAGTCTGTAACTCCTTTGTAAACCAATTAAAAGTTTTGTGTTTTTTTTTAATAAAAAGGCATGTCTCTGGTGTGTTGAGAGGGTTGGGGATGGGGAGTATATGGCCATAACTTTATATACTGAACCCAACAAAGGTTTCCAGCTACACCTTTGTGTTCCCATACATGCACAGTTGCCCTACACTTAACGTGTCACGAGCAGATCAATATGACATGACTTCATAGGAATGTGAAGGTCCAAGAGGAACAGGTAGCACCAACTCTTATTTAATAAACTTTATTTTGGAATACTTTTAAAAGAAGGTAGCAGAGATATACAAAGAGTTCCCATTGTTAACATTATGGAACATTGTCAAAACTAAGAAACTGATGTTGATACATTAGCAAAACCTCTAGATTTCACTAGTTTTTCCATTGATGTCCTCTTTCTGTTTCAGGACCCATTCCTGACACACTGGATTTAGTTGATATGTTCCCCTAGTCACAGTTTTTCATAACCAGGACAGTCTTTGGGATTATTGCCAGGTGTCCTGTAGAATATTCTCATTTTTTGACTGAGCTTTTGGGTTTTTTGAGAAAATACCATCCAGGTGCAATTCCCTTAACATCTTGTCAAGGAGTATGTGATAACCACAAGACAGTACTAATAATAACCTTCATCACTTGGTTAAGGTAGTGTTTGACAAGATTTATCTAGTTTCCCTATTTGTAGGCAAGTCAATAAGTCTATCCCACCTTTAATGGGAATTAAGCTTCCTCTACGTATACTATCTACATAGAGTTTTTAGGATTCTGTGAGGAAACTGTCTCCCCTATTATATGCACTCATTTTTTTATATGAAATATTAGGTAAATTTATAGTTTGTTATAATCCAACTAGAGGCCCAGTGCATGAAATCATGCATGGGGAGGAGGGTCCCTTAGCCTGTCTTGCACCCTCTCCAACCTGGGACCCCTTAAGGGATGTCCGACTGCTGGTTTAGGCCCAATAGGAACTGGCAGTCAGGCATCCCTCTCGAAATCCAGACTGTTGGCTCCTAACTGCTCACCTGCCTGCCTGCCTGATCATCTCTAACCCCTCTGCCTGCTGGCCTGATAGCCTCTAACCACTCTCCCCTGCTGGCCTGATTGCTCCTAACCGCCTCTACCTTGGCCCCCACCACTGTGCTTGGAAGGAGGACTGAATTACCAGATGTCCGTTCAACCCTGTGTGATTAGCATATTACCCTTTTATTATTATAGATACTATATTATTTTATTACTAAAATTATCCCAGCTTTGGCCATTGCCAGCTCTTTCAGGTTGGTTCATGTGTCCCTTGGATATGTCTACATCCTTTTTTTTTTTTAGCCCTTTTTTGCTTTCTAATAAAATGCTTTAGGTTCATCTTGTTTTTTCCCTATTCCAGGCCTAGAATTAGTCATTTGTCCAAGGAGCCATGTTTCTTTAAAAAAAAAAAAAAAATTATATATATATATATATATATATATATATATATATATATATATATATTTAATACATTTTTATTGATTTTAGAAAGGAAGGGAGGGAGGGAGAGAGAGAGAGAGAGAGAGAGAGAGAGAGAGAGGAAAACAAACACATCAATGTGAGATCAGTTGCCTCCCATAGGCACCCTGACCAGAATCACACCCACAACATGGGTATGT